AGGTGGCTAATAATCATTTCATTTAACAGTCATTTATTTCTTCAGAAACTTATCACCCTTATTTAAAAAGTACAGATTTGCTGCTGAGGAAATGGCTCAGGGGTGGAGCACTTGCCTGGTGTGGAGTCCTGAGTTCAGCCCTCAACACTTAAAAGGGAAAATGCAGAATCAGATAAATTGGGGCATACAATTAATTAGTAAAGAGAACTTTCTGTAAACAAGAACATTGTATTTTTTTCTTTCTTTAAAAATGGTCTCATACATAAGATTAGCTAAAATGTTCCAGCCTAAAATGACATCTGATAAATTTTCGCAAAATTCATAACAGAAAAAGAGATTTCACTAAAATGTAATTATGCAGATTTAACTGTTGCTGTAACACTGGAATGTGGAAGGATTTCCACTAAGGCCGAAGATAATGGAAGATGAATTACAAAACAAAACTAATGTAATACTATCAGTGCTTTGCTTTAGGAATTGTTCATTCTTGTCCTCCTGTAACCAGTAGGAAAATGTTCTTTAACCATCTCAATTATCTTCTGACTTTGATAAAAACTGTGTGCTTTACCTGCACTAGTATATATTCAATATCCACTAAGAGTATTTGCACATCTATTACTTCTGGATTTTAAAGCAGACAAATATTTCCCTCTGGTCTTTCAATGGTACCTACTTCCACTATAGATCTAGGAAGATACTTCAGCTTCCAGGATGCAAGTAAGTAGAAGTTTGTGAAAGTGATTAACTGTTAAGGATGAACTGCAGAGCATGAAATGTCTCTAGGTTGGCCTAGAGAACAGAAGTACTGAGATAAGAGTATGTACTTGGGATAGAGGCCTTTTGTGCACCACAAGGGTAGATCATAAGAGCAGAGTGGGAGGGTAAACAGTTACACAATAATGAGTGACAATAATACTGAGAGCAGGTTATGTTTATCACATGTAAATATGTGCTCATCTCCTTTATAATCACTTTATATTTATAAGTTGATTTCATTCTTGCAAAAATGGCTACACCCTGGACTGGGGATTTAGCTCAGTGGTTCTGCTGCCTGCCTTCCAAGTGCAAGGACCTGAGTTCGATCCTCATACAAAAAAAAAAAAAAAAATGGCTGCACCCATTTAGACATCAGGAACTGATGGAAGAACTGGTCAACATCTAAAATATTAGAGAATAAAACAAATGACAATTTGAAGCTAAATCATAAAAATGGAGGTATCCGTAGATCTCAGAATTGATAGATAAGAAAGTAGCATTGGAAAAATAATTTGGCTTATAATAAAGATGTGACATCTTCCATCGATGTAGAAAGGAGGAATTAATTCACTATTTTCTATTTATGTTAAATAGTACTGGTTTCTTATTTTATTAAAGACAGAATTAGACTGTCGCTAAATAAGATTTATTTGGCCCTAGGAGATAGGAGCAATTGCTTCACTCTTTTAGAGACAGAAAACTTAAGGTACATAGAGTTCAGTAACATTATCCAATGTCATGCAGCTTTTCTGTATTCCAGTAGCCATGAATGACTTGACATGTGCACAAATGTATTTCTATCTTCCCTCTAAAACCACCCCAACTCTACAACTCTCATAGTTACCTTCAACTATTCTTACACTCTGTATATGCACAGCTTGGAAAATTCTGGTGGATCTACCTCCTTAATCTGCCTTCACTAAATTTATTGATACCACATTTCATCGTTTGTTTAAGTAGCCTCCTGTCTGCTCTTATTCCTTCCATGTTTGCTTCCTTAGTCTGTCATTATAGCAGCCAGAGCAATTCTTTGAAACCAAAGTCACCTAAAGCTACTCTTCCACCTCTACTGTACTCTCCCAGATAATCCCATGACGAGCTCTCCAACATCTGATTGCTCAAGTGTGTCCAGATGAACGAAAAGTGCCTTCAAAACTTGTTAAAATCACAACTCATTGTCACCATGTGCCCCTAGCAGAACTTCTAATCCCAGGTCCTCTTCCTTTCATCATCCCCTAGTATCGCACAGAATTTACTCTAATATATTTGTTATTATGTACTTGCCTTCCCTAAAATATAAATCCTGTAAAGGCAGTATCTTACTTGTTTTGTTCACAGAAGTATACTAAACACTGAGCACAATGCTTTGCACTTAATATAGACTCTATAAATATTTGTCCAATGAATCCTAATACTGGGATTTCAGACAGGCAACATGATTCCAGGGTTCATACATTAATGACTAAAAAACTTGAAAATAATGAATACATGTGGGAAAAGACTTTAGGAACACTAAAGTACTAAAATAAATCATTTAGGAAATCATGGTAGTTTAATACAGTGGACCCTTGACTTACTAACTCAATTCGTTCACAAGGGCTGATTGTAATTCAAGTTTGTTAACTGAAGGTTCAGGCTCCTCTACACAGCCTTCAAAGTCTCTCTTCTGTATACAGGCAGATCTCAGTGTCCTTAGAGAAACATTGGCCCAGGATTTCTCAATTAACTCCACACAGGAAAGGATGTTGTAATGTTCTTTCCAGAACTTTTGAGAATTTCTTTGGAGGTTCTAGCAAGGGAGTGCGGCTACTCATATACCCTTGACTGAGGAAATGGTCCTCCTCTACTAAGGGTGGTTATCCTCTTCCACCACGCATGCAGCTTCTGGAGGGTCACAAATGAAGTATTGAGGGAGAAAGGGGACACCCTCCTAGCCAGATCAGCGAATCAAACCTGGTCTGGCAACCAATGAGGTGACAGATGTCACAGTCAGAGAGCCCTCACATCCCTTTCCAGAATTCTTTAAGGGTAAAATCTGTATCTGAGACCATCTGGAGGCACAAGCATCGGCCATTGAGGTTGTAACTCAAGACTTTGGTCATAAGTTAGAACTAAAATTCTTGTCATAACCCAAGTTGTTTGTATGTCAGACCATCACAACTCAAGGGTGCACTGTATTTATATTAACCATAACTTTTTAAAAACAAGTATTACCAACAATTAATTCAATAAATAAATGTAGAAAAATATATAAATATGAGAAAGTATTAATGTTAATATCTCAAGAGCTATCATAAATCAAATTAGGGAAAGAAGCACTAAAATCCTCATTAAGTATTGAAAAAGCATATAATCTCACACAAAATAATAGAAAGAATAAAAGTATAACTCACCTTTTCTAGTAATACAATTTATTAATTTAAGATGATTTTTCCCAAATAGGAAATCAGAAAATGTAAAGAAAGAAAAGGGGGAAATGAAGATTAAATATGCCTCCTATTGAGGAGGGTTTCATAAAACCAGTTCCCATTATAACAAGCAGAGTGAGCTTTAAAATATTCCTTCATCTTGATACATGTCTCTATTTGTTGGAATCTATTCTGAGGATATAGTCAGATGTGCAGTCAAAAATGCAATAGCAAAGGTTTTCAACAAAGTCTTCTAATAGAGAATAAAAGTGTAAAAACAACCCACTTATTCAAGAATTTAAAAATTGTGAAATATTTCATAGAATTTTTAGTGGTTCAATAAAATTAACATTTTGAAAAAATTTGATAACTTAGAGAATATTAATTTTTTAAACAGGTAGGTAAAAAAGCTGTGTTTATAACCTGGTTTAAGCAGAATGGATCAAAACCTTATTCCAATCGATGGCACAACAGAGGCTGAAAAACCTGAAGCAGGAACAACTGTTTGAACCTGGGGCAGAGGCCAGAGTTCCTGTGTGCACACTGGTCGAGCCCTGTCTAGAATGAGAGAGTTCTGGCCATGGAGGAGACAAGTCAGATGGGCTTCAAGGAGAATGGTCGCCTATTTCCCAAATTTTCCTGGGATCAGAAAAAGCCTTAGAATCTATTTGAAAGCATCGTGCACAGGACGCTATCATCACGTAGGATATTGATAATGACACTTATGCAGAATTCAATTTTCCAAATATTTGTGTCTGTGACTTTGCCTCTTGCAATTTTAGAAGAGTATACTTCACAAATGTTACCTGCCGGCTTCTAAATGGATGAACAATTTTTAAAAGTATATTAAATTTGAGTTCTTAAAACAATTATGATCCTAGTTTCATGATACATTTTTCACTACCAGTAAACATTACAAAGAAATTGTTTTACTATCATTGTTTAGATCGCCTGTCTCTTGCTAATTTCAAAATGAATTTCTTTTCTTGAATCAGATATTAAAACCAAAGTTTAGACAAGCATATAGCATTTTACTGTAAATTTATTGACTTTAGTGAATTGCATTTTAAGTGGTATGAGGGTTTGTGAAATGATGCCACTAATTTTAAATTGTTAAAACTAAACAACTTCTCTTTTGATTGCTAATGACTATAATAGACAAAGTTTGCTGGATTATTTTTCAAATTATTTTCCTGTGATTGCTACTCATCTTGTGCATGACATGAGATTAGTTATCAATAATCACATGAAGCAGTAAAAGAGGAGGCTCAGTGATCAACAGAAATTCTTTTTTTCCATGGGAACATAGCCTGCTCAGATGGCTGACATGTACAAGGCTGAACTAGTGCTCTTTCCTATTTGTATTCATTGTAGATTTATAGGAAAAAAATTAATTATTGAAAGTTGGTAAAAATAACTCTCATTGACATGATGCTAGAGGCAGTATTTACTATAAAGAACAGATCTTAACAGAGACATGAGGGACATTTAGTTTGGTATAGATACTAAAATAGTGAAGTAAGTTCACTGTCTCTAAACAGTGGATATGTGTTGTTCATAAAATAGATTTCCATATATACTGTTTCCCCTTCCTGTTAGAAAGTGGAATTTAATTTATTATAAACTTCATTACTATGTCCACAGATATGTGTTTTGCATATTTTATAAAAGCCATAGGTTAATGCTAAGAAAAGCAACGGCTTAAAGATGTTAGTGTACTTTTGAGGTAAAGGGTAAAAAGAAATTCAGAGAAGGAAAGAAATATTTTATTGTTTTCTCTATTATCTGGAGAAGTATGGTGGGACCCAATCAGGATGCATCAGTGTGGATTACCTAAGTATTTCTAAGGGATGGCCTAGAGATTCCTGCTCTTAAAAATTTAGAATACAAATCAAGCTGACCTGTAGATGAACTCGTGAGAAGAGCAATTAGGACAAAAGAGAAATTGAAAAGTAAGAAAACTGATTTAAAAGGAGAACACTTCATGCATGTTACTCCAGTGGGTGCTCCTTAGCCATATCTTCTTTACTACTCTAAAAAAGAAAAAGAAAAAGAAAACTCTCAACTCATCTGAACTGGGGATACATAAACAAGATGGAAATTCTTTGATTTTGTGCTTTGGAGTCTGCGTGTGAGCGCTGGTTTGCCTGTTTATAGTCCTTGCGGAATATTCCGTGGGAAGAAACTGGTCCTCTTTGAGATCATCACAGCACTGTTTCCCAGAAGGTGTAACGCCGAGTGGCTGGGACGAGGAGAGAGTGCCCTAATCTGTTGCACCAGCACAAAACTGGAGCGGGCACCTGCTGGAAAGCCACATCCCAGGGCTTTGGGAGATAAAGGAAATCAAGTAGAAAGAAACAGAGTCGTGAGGGAAGTGGTCTCTCCCAGTCCATCGGTAAGATTCCTCCCGGATGCCACGGTCTGTTTTACAAATTGACTCCAGTCTTTCTCTAGTCGTGAGGTCGTGACCAGTCAAGCCTCCCTGAGTGCCAAGCTGGGAATCGTCGCTTCGCAGTTACCGCAAGTAAGTTATTGCCAACTTTGCCAATATACGTTGTTTTCCTCTCCACATTTTGATCTTATTTTTATGTGTGAAGACCAAAGAGATTGACCGAGGGATAACATTTATTGGGAAATCTCGACATCAGTAGGCTGATTGCAGCAACACACACATACTCTCCCACCACCTGCAGCTCCCAGTTTTAACACTGCAGCTTGGGTTTTAGCATTTGGAAACTTGCTGATTTCCTTTGCCTTTGGAAGGACGGAGCTGGATGGGGTTGGGTGGAACGTTGTAGCTCATCGTTTATTCATTGCGATGGCTCGCAAAGTGGCGAGCTGCATCCTTGTTCTTGCAGGGGAAGTCTGACACCTTGAGGACGGGCGAAGGGGTGCCAGGAACCCACAGCTGCGCAAGTGGAAGAAGCACTGAGTTGCGGGGGTTACTTTTCTCCAGTCGGACGACCGGCCGCATGGGTGTTTGTTTACTAGGGTAGGAGCAGGGCTTTGGAAAGCTGGGTTCTGGCGTAAACTGAAGTCTTCCATCTCTGCAGAGTTCCACCGAATCCTGGAGGTGTGTCTGGCTTGCGTCCCAGACCACGGGGTAGGTTCTCCCAACCGACTGGGTTGGCTCATAGTGCTGAGTCCCCTGCTGCTTACTAGCTGACTTCCAGCGGTTGGCCCGGGAAGGTGAAGATCATTCAGTGGCAACCGAGCTGTGCTGAGCGTTAGCTCTGGTCCAGACCTGGGTCCCCTCCACCTCCTCGCAGAGCGGAGCGTGGGTCGCGCGTCTTCCCGGGCTACCCCTTCTGAGCGCGGCAGGCGCGGACCTGAAGCCAGGAGCCACTGGGGACAGAGGACTGGGAACCTTCCTCCTGGCTCGAGCTGTCAGCCGTGGGAACCCCAACTTTATTCGGCGGGCTCAGAGGCTCGGGGGTGGGTGAAGTTCTCGCCCCGGGCGATCACCACCTCCTCCACCCGCCCCTCCCCCGCCTCCTCGGTTTCCCTCTCCGAGCATCCTCATTCAGCCCATTTCGGTGCCAGCTGCGTGGGCTCCAGCTTCGTGCGTTTTGCCTTGGAATGCTCCAAAAGTCACAGCCACTAAGGAAACCCCCGCGGAATGTAACCGGGAGTGCTGTCCCTGGGCACAGCACTCGTGCCGCCCGTCCACGGATCGGATCACTTCATCCTCAAGTTGCAACTTTGCAGGTAAAGAGGGTGTCGCTTCAGATCTCCATTTGACCAGAGCTACGCCCGGATTCCTTTCCGGGATCTCCGTTAAGTTTCCCGGCTGCCTGGGAAGCCGGCTCTCTTCTGGGGGGCAGATATCCCTGGGGGTTAGGAGTTCACAAGGCTCTGACTGCTTAGTTTCTTTTCAAGGATAGGGAAAAAATTTGTGAAGCTTTCTGTGATTGATCCGGACTGAGCCGGAGTTTGGAGGGGGCTGCTGGTTGGGCTCTTGTCCAACCGGGCTTTAAAGTAGGGGGGAGGGCGAGGAGTAAACCCCTGCTGTGACTTATATGGTAAACAAAGGAGCTGCAGCCACGCCGCGGTGCTGGGGAATGTGGTTGCTTTTAGCCTTTTATGCATTTAGGGAAAATAGATCATTGTGGCCCCCTGGCACAAAGTAAGTCTTTGACTCTCTGGCACCCAAACTGGGGGCCACAGGAAGGAACGTGATCAATATCCAAAGTCAATCGATTACACTCTGCGTCATTTTCATTTTTTGTCAAAAACCAGAAGCACTTTTTACCAGTTTCGCTGGACCCAGTCTAGTAATTCCTAGTTCGCCCTGCAACCGAGATGCCAATTAAGCCAATAATCCTGCTTGCTACTTGGGTACATCGCTGAGATTCAGGGCACAACTTGTTCCAGCTGTGAACTCAGCTGCCGGAGAATACTGGTAAGGTATAGAGGGCTTGGGAGAGCTAAGCAGAGGGAACGCTGATCTGTCTGCCTGCAGTTGCTTTGCTGGATACACCGTGGTGTTGTGTCTCCGTTCACATGGTTTCTTAGGGAGGCCCTTCCCAGTCAGATTCCACTGCTATAAAATACAAGGAGTACTTCAGGAGTAAGCACCAAGCCAAAAGAGTGGGAGGAGACAGAAGCAAGCTTTAGTTGTTTTATTAAAAAGAAATTTAGCACAGACTTGGAAAACTAAAAAGAAAACAAACCAAAACCTTCCAGAGCTCATGTAATTTCTGGCTTTCTTCTCACAGTAATCAGAATACAACGCATTTTTAAAAATTCTTTAAAATAAATGGTTTACTGGAGAGGTTTGTAAAAGTAGAACTCTAAAAGAGAGACAGAGTAGGAGAGGGTGGATGTGTTAAACCACTGAAATCTTCACTGTTGTGATTTGTTCTTGAAAACTATAATGCCTACTTACATTCACTTGGACAGGAAACATTACCCCCGTTAAGTATTTAAAACAAACAAACAAAAGTGGGATACCAATCTAAGAAATTCAGAATTAGAGTCAAAATTCATTTTTTGTATTTATTTCCATCTAGTTATAATAAAAAATTGTTTAAGAGTTAGCTTTCTTCACCTTATGTTTTCTATTTTTAATATTTCCAGATGCATTGAGACCTCAAAATTTTAAGAGATTTGAGAATATTTTGACCATGGCTGTTTTTTAAATCAGCACAAATATAGACATGATCTCTTAAGAATATTAGTATGTACAACACAAAAAGGAATAACTTTCTAACAAAAATACATTTAAGAAAATAAGTCATTCATTTGGAAAACTAAAAGTTAAAGGCAGTCTTGGAAAGACATTAATTTATAACTACCTTGTTTCCTGAATGAATTCATGAAAAAATTCATGGCAAATACTATCATCTGTTTAAATCTAAATGATGCTTCTGAATGTTCAGTGTAAGTAGGATATCCAAGAGATAGAGGGAGGGAGGAGGGGCATCTAAAAAGATGAATTATGACCATATATGAACTGCCCAGGAGGAATATAACCATTATGTACTGTAAACATGTACTAATGAAAATAAATTTTAAAAAGAAAAGGAATAGTTCAAGCACATTACCTATTAGAATCACTAAGCTTTAGATCATACCCCATTATTATTAGCTTGTTGTGTTTCCTTTTTGAAATACAGTGATATCATAGAGCAATGGCTTTTGAGCTACAACAGGTGATTCGCAACACAGTTTTATACATAAAATTAAATTGTTAATTCATACATCAATTTAAATATGCCTTGGATAGCTTTATCTGGCATGCTGCATTCTTTTTGAGAACTGGAAAATGCAATGAAATGAATGATATGCAATAATTAAATTCTGCCCGTAGTTTGGGATAATAGTTTTTGAAATATGTTTAAAACGTCACATTAGGTGACTTCTTTGAACCTATAACAACAAAGGCCAAAATTTACTAGAGATAGAAGCTAGAAATTATTATGAAAAAAAGAAAGGTGAAAGAAGGGAGGGGGTGATATTTATGGACACAAAATGTATGCCAAGCACTATGCTAAATATTTGTTATTTTCAAATCTTCTTTGAATCCGAAGTATTATTATCACATTTTAACAACCTAAGAAGACTAATTTCAAAAAATTACAAAACTCCTTTGTGGTTAAACAGATTCGGACCTATATTTACTTGATTCAAATCCCACACTCCTTTTTATTTAATTCTTACAGTTTCTAAAATAAAAGTAATAAATTTTATAAGATTCATAAATTTATTATATTATTATATTATATATTATTATTAGAACTATCATTTTTCTTTGATTTTTTTTCGAACACCATCTCACTGGGACACAGGCAACTGTTCCCTTTATAGGGACAGAATTTGAGACAACAGTCTGTTTACTAAAGTTCCATCAGGTTTCAAGCAGAGCAGAAGGTAGGCTATTCTCTTCCGGTAGGCTGTTCTCTAATTAATTTATTTATTTATGTGCTGGGCATTGAACCAAGGGCTTTATGTAAATGTACCACTACCACTAAGTGGCATCTCCAGCCCCTGTTTTTCTTATCCTGGAATGTAAATACAACACAGGTGGGAAAAAAGGTCTATTTTCATGGATAAAATTCAAGATTATAAATTTTTCTTTAAATATGAATGAGATTGCAGTATTAAAAACTTCTCAGTCAAATCTTTAGAATATCTGTCTGCTGTTAATGAAATGACCGTTTATTAATAAAGGCAGTCATATTTATATTGCATCTTGTTAATGTTATGTGAAATTTCTATATGTGTTCTTTGTTGTAATTTATTTTAAATTTTAATTGTCTAATTATTTTAATGTTCTTTGGTATTTAATGAGAAGAACTTCATTTCTGCATCCTAAAAGATATCCATCAGCTAGTGACAAGTTTTAATAAAATTGTCATAGTATTTTTAAACATATGCATGCATTTGAAATTGATTTGATTACATCACAAATCTATTGACATTGAAGTTGAAGAAGTGATATCTTTGAATACCACTACAAAAAATTAGCGCTAAAATGGTATCCACTCAGTAGATACTTATGGATTATTAGTACAAAAATGTTTGAATAAATATATAGTGGAAAAGCTTTTCATTTTTGTTGTATTTTCCAGAAAAGCCCCTTCTGTCCAGAATACCTTTTACCTTTTTGCTTCCTATAAAAGTTCTCCAAGCAATCAAGCACAATCGGTGCCTACAGCCAATATTACTGTACTTTTGAAAATTTTCTCCCGATGTCGCAAGTATAAATACAAGCAAACCTTTTGTATGTTCTGCCTTACAGGTGAGCAAAGGTCTGTCTTCTGAACTAGACAAGTAAAAATCTTTAGGAACCAAGAGGCCATTTTAAAATGTATGAGTTTGTAACTAAACTAGATTATCATAAATATTATGCTTCTTTAATGAAACATAATTAATTTATTTCATACTTTTATAATGCCATACTTGGCTGATTTTTAGCATACTTATTTATATGATAAAACCAGTTATAAGAATAAAATTAATAATAAAATATCATACTTATGTGTTATAATGAATACCACATTATTTCTTACATTACAAAAATAATTTCCCACCATTATTCATTAAACATAACTTCCAATCAACTAGTTCACTCTACAATGTTCATTTTCATAAGATTTATAGAATAATGTCCTTAGCTTAAGTAGCACTTTGTTAGAATTCTTAAGGGATAATTTTTGTTCCACTATACTATGAGAGGAAAAGTTAGGATAAAAAAAAAATACAAGTATTTGTCAGGAATGCCTACTGAACTAAAGGAGGTCACTGACTGCTTTAGAATAAAATTTGACAAAGTATGGTGTCACAGTCTTGACAGGACTTAATGTCCAGTTGTAGATGCCATGTATTTTGTTTTTTTTATTTATCCTATACCATTGAGAGTAGAATTTTTACAAATCCAGGTTTGTGAAAAATAAATATTCTTATACTCAGCTGCATTTTTAATGCATTTCACCTCTAAATGGTGGTGGAGAAAATATTTAACTACATAGGCTAGGAACCTGTGCATACCAGCATCGTTAGATTGGTGACAAGTTTTAGTAAAATTGTCATGACATTTTAGACATATACATGCATTTGAAACTGATTTGATTATACTACATATCTGTTGACATTGAAATGATATCTTTGAATACCACTACACAAATTAACACTAAAATGGTGTCCACTCAGTAGATACTTATGGATTATTAGTACACGAATATTTGAATAACTATATGATGGGTAAGCTTTTCATTTTTGTTTTATTTTCCAGAATACACAGGACATTGCACTGTCCTTTCATTTCACATAATTAGTGTAACCATTGCTCAGTACATACATTTTTGCATAGTAAGGATGATTGAATTGATCTGTTGTCAGTGGGTATCTCAACCCTTCTATTTTGATATATTAAGGCTTCAAGTTTCTGGTCACAAACCAGCGTGCATACCCAAAAAGTTCAATGTAGGGGATGAATAGACAGGCAGAGTAAACATGAACTGAAGAATGAAGAATTTACTATGCTTTATAAATAGTCATGTTTATAAGCATCTATTTATGTAAAGAGATGTTTCATGCTGTGATGAAGGTCCATACCTTGAAGATCACATTGAAGACTATGTTTCAAGTGAATGTTCATTGTGGAACTTGAATTTAGACAGGTGTAGTTGAGTCATCCTTAATTTCATATGGAGCCCAATGTACGTAGGGAATATGTGTACAATACAGAACAGGCAGTATACATATGCACATACATGTGTTCATGTACATATGTGTAATAACAGTAAATGAAAAGGGAGACTACTCCTGAGTGTGAGATACAAATCATTAGCAAGGATGATAAGAATAATCTGTCAGAACTAATAGGTATGGCATGGTGGCCATACTCGTAATTTTAGCACTCTGAGAGGCTGAGGTAAAGGGATCACAAGTTCAAGGCCTATTCGGGCAATTTGGTGACAAAGTGAGACCCTGTCCCAAAATAAAGTAAAAATAAAAAAAGAGGTGTTCCCCTATGAGAAGGTCCTGCAGTTAATCTCCAGTATTATAAAAAAAGCACAACAGATTTATTTGCCAGTGCAACAATGAATGTCCTTGCCGAATGCTTAGATGTACAATGAGTGACTTGGAAAGTCATCAGTCCAAGAGTGTATTTAAGTAGACCTCTCATATCTCACTAAATAATTATATATAGCTCATTGTTATATATAATGCTTTCTAAATAATTATATATGTATATGTATGTGTATATGTATATATATGTACTCGAACCTTACTGAGGACTTATTTAGTACATGACAATTACTTTGCTAGATGCTAAAGATATAGAGAGGGATACGGCACAAATTTTCCTTTTTAATTAAAGTTTCAAGCAAAGAATGGTTATTGACTTCTTATTGCATTCTGAAATTCCATATTATTCTACAAATAGTTATTCTTTGCTTTTCTCCTCAACTTTTCTTATGAAATCAGAAAACTCGTTAAATAAATAACACAAGCTATCTTTAAATGAGTAGTTTATTATTGAGATTTAAAACAAAAACCAAATCATGTGGAAAGAAAATCAGATCTATACTCCCAGCTACAAACCATGGTTTTCTGTGATTAAGACCTAAGTTTCTCTGAGTGTAAATCCATCTTAATTTAAATAACACTATTGACACTATTAAAATGGTGCCTTTCTTTTATACATCAGTACTACTAAATTTCTATCCAAAGGCTACATATTTTAAGAGGTTAGTTGTTTGCCAAAGTCTGGTTGAATTTATAGCACTATATATAAACATGTTGCCTCATCCCCCTTGGAACCTGTGAAGCAAATTTAAAAGAAGAACCAGAGAGGCAGGAATGTAATGACGTGAATTTTCACCACCTTGTCTTTGTGGGTTTATTTTTAGAAAAATAACTACAAAATAAATATATAACCCAGTTGAGAAAAAGTAAACAAATTGATAGTTCAAAATGATCCACTGTTGAAAAACCTAGATATATTTGAAACAGAAAACAATTCATTTGAGTTTATTTAAAGACCTTGGCTCAAGAGATTCTTGGAAGGCTGAGTCCATGTCAGAGTCATCCAGGACTTCTCAATGTTAACTGTTAATATTTTCATATGACCTTCGCTGCCTATAGCTGAACATGTACTGAAAACCTAGAAATAGGCCATTTTTCTCACAGTCTTAACTTTTGGGAGCAAAACAAGGAACTGCAATAGCTACATTAATTTTTTTAAAACATTATTTGGAACCTGCATTCCTAAGACTACCCACTGTGTGCCAGAATTTTTGCTTTCTGAGGGTCATCCTCTAAGTCTGTGATTGCCTCTATAATTAAGGCAAAAGAAAATTTCAAGATATCCCTCTTTTTTTATGCTGTATAAAAGAAAATGTTGGCAGAGGGAAAAGATTTACTTATCTGGTTCATTTTAACCTCACAGCTTAACACTTTTGATTTATAGTGTACAAGCTACTTGGAGAGCTGAATTGCCCATTTTCATTTAACACTCCAACACTTCTTGGAACATAGTGAACCAGTAAATGATTTTGCCCTTTCATGAATAAAAGAAGTCTTAATGGAAAAAAGATTTAATTATAATAATTCTTATGATAAATGTTTCCATAATTTAAGAGTATCAACAGTTTTGAAGAATAAGACTTGTTTTGCATTCGCTATACTTACCAATGAAACACTAAGACCAGAACTTAAAGTATAACTAGATAAAATACTGAAGCATTTTCCTGTTAGTTTTTACATTGCTTAATTGAAACATTGGGTACAATTGCATATTGGAAATTGGCTCTTTTTAGCTTAATGATTCATGGCAATATTTATTGGTAACACAAAATACACAAGGCCTATTTTAAGTTATAGTATTTTAGCCTCAATTTTCAAAAGAGTAAATATCTACAAAGTAAATGTATAACCCAATTCAGAAAAAGTAAACAAACTGATTGTTTGAAATGATCCATTGTTGAATAACCTACATATATATGAAATAGAAAACAACTCAACTTAGTTTATTTAAAGAAAGTTCTTCAAAAAATAAGTTATTATAAGGCTCCTAATCATAAGAGGCAAAATAGGATTTTCCATCTTTAATACATAAAAAGATTAATATTTAAAGTGATTGAAATTCTCTACTCATAAAGCACATAGGAATTCAGTTGATTTTAGAAATTTTTCCAGAGTCTTCTAAATTTTATTTTGATTGTTTGAATCATAAGAGTAAACCAGAGACAGAGGCTGCTCAAATGGTTTCACATACCCCTTGGTTCCCTTGTATCATCCAGTAATATCTACTGCACATACTACATCACTTCTCTATCCACTAATCAATGTTTTCACCATTCTTATTGATCCTGGGATGAACCTACTCCCTCGGATATAATGCGCATTTTCTACTGTCTCTATTACACCAAGGTACAGACATGTAGAGGGAGTATAATAAACATTTGGAAACTGGTGGTAAGATCATGCTTTCACTGTGAAATGTAATGAAAGCTTCTATTGAATCCTTACTTTAAATGAAATCCCATTAAGAGCTTCTTTTTTCTAAAATTTAGACTGGAAATAAAAATTTCTTTCGGATTGGTGTAAGAAAATTTTCTATAAGGAAGGGCTTAAATAATTTTTAGGAAGTAAATTTCATAGTTATATTTTTTCTTGGTGCACAGGGAAGAGCAGTTAGTCTATTGTGCTTAAGAAAAATGATCCTTTTTTCCCACTGCTCCTTATGAAGGGAAAATCATTTCATGGTTGGTGCTAAAATTTCTGGCCAATTTTGTGTTTTACATTAAAATTAGTGCTTATTATAATACTGAGACAATACTAAAAAATTCACTATATGTGTATTTTTTCAAAAGACTTACCTGATACTTACAGCAAAATACTTGATATAGTACTAATGTTACTAATATAGTTAATAGTTTGCTTTAAAAACAGTTAAAGGTTTAATTTTAACTCACACAATAAGTAATCCCAATTTATTTTCCTAAAATCTTAGCAATAGTTTGAATGTTTATTTAAAATATAAGTATAGGAGGAACCAATACAAAATATTTATCTGTATGATTTATGAGCTATTTTGCCTTCATTTCTTACCCCATAGTGGCTTGAAATAAATTGGAAAGATAATATGTTTATCTTTTTGAAAAAGTAAAATTTCATTGCACCAGTGCACATGCATTTAGCTGGTGGGAGGGGAATCTGAGCTGGGCAGATTTATTTATTTTTTTTAGATTTTCAAAACCAATTGTTATTATATTTTATTTATCTAATTTG